TATTCTATCACTAGCTCATTACAAAAAGTTTTGCTTTAGTGCCATAATTTTGTCTGTCATGTTTTACAAGTGTTATGAATGACAGCAGCAAACCCGTAATGCACATTCATATTTCCCTGCTAACACCTACTGAACTGAGCGTTTACATTTCATATGGGGGCATTATATTAAATCACCTATATAACTGTGTTACTTAATCAGAGATTTCATGCTTTAAATCAAGGGACAAAGCGCAAGGTGTATTTCTAATGAACACAGCTGTGGACTCAATGCAATGGCTAATACAAATTCAAGGTTCTTTAGTAAGCCCTGTTCATTGCTTGCGGATTCCATTCATGATGATGAATGCTGTGTAAAAGCCAATAGAAGTGCATGACCCCATGGTACCTTACAAACATAAATTACTGGGTTTTGCACCCGGTGTGAGCTGCCTGCTTGATAGAAAGGAAGGATATTGTCTTGAGTTAGATGCAGGAAATAAACAAAATGGCAATTTGCACTACTACTTTCCATAATGCATCCTGATTTTTCTCATTTTAGGGAAATAATCTGGATCAATAATGGCTAACCAAGATTTGGTGGTGGTTTGTTTTTTTAAAGTCTGTTCTGCAAACAGATTCAGTTTTTCACCTCCTTGGCAGTCCAGAAAGTACATTTCATAATCAGAAAAAATTATTAGAGATGAAACAGAGTATGCCATCCTAAAGAACATAACAGTGGCATCTGTGGACCTGGATTCAGTATTCTCAGTTGTACAGATAACAGTATAAGAGTGAGCATCAGATGCAATCAAAGCAATCACACTATGATTGCAGTTTGAGGTAGTGCAAGTATGAGAGCCGGTGTTGTGAGCGAAAGGACAGTGCAGCAGCTGCATTTTAATGGGGCTTGCAGTTGTTTTGCAGAAAGTGATGTATGGCAGTCACTGCCAAAGACTAGTCAGACACCTGCTGCAGGTGTCCTATACAGGAGCAACCTGGGAAGGTGTCAGGCATTGAGTCTCCTACTCAACAGAAGCCTGACAGAGCTAGAAATGCGATTTTAGCTGAAACCAAGCGATGGTCAGAATTAGCTTCAGATGCTGCCCTTACAGCTATTAAACTCAAAAGTCCAGTCCTAAGAATGGGTTTGTCTGGCAGGAAAAAGAGGCAGGAGAGCAAGAGGAAGGATTTTGAGGCTTTGGGTTTCAAGCTCATGTGTATATGTGCACCGTCATCTATCCATTTAGCTGCATTTTCTGGGAATTTCTAAGATTAACATTATCCTGAAAGCCATTCAGAGAAGTCGATTGCTTAAAAACAGATGCATTTTGTCGGACAAACATCTCGCATGTACTTGTTGGATGCTCTTATTGCATATAATTATTGTGGGGCAAACCATACAGTAAATTCTATTATGTCCATATTCTGTGGGACATTTCTCTAAACTACAAGGGAAGACGTTAACCATGTAAATCTTTTGTGTCATTTAGTCATGGTGCATTCCTAATACTCCCTCCCAAGGACATGTGCTGAATTTATGTTCTCATATAGTAAGATTTATTCCTGTACACCTAGGTCTGGAAGATGAACATGGTAAAGAAAATCCCACACCCTTTTCCCATAAACCCTGTGAGAAGGAAACCAGATATTTATGGGGAACAAGGAACATATCCTGTTGTTTACCCTTTTTCAGAACTGTAAGGAAGAACAAATAAACCAGAGCAGGGAAGAGGCTGAGCTCTGTTTGGATCCAGCTAACAGAGATCAAAACTCATGCCTACCACAGACAAATAAAGTCCACCTGAATGAGTTTAGAAAAGCCATCAGCATCCCCCCTGCCACAGAAGCAGTGGTCACCATTACAGCTTCCAGCTGCTTGGGGAGGCTGGGGAGAGGTGGGTGGCCCACCTCCTTCTAAAAGAATGGTGCCTGCGGGTCTTCACCATATATTGAGTTTGCCTTCTTATAAAAGGCTTTTAGGAGAAATACAGACTGCAAAGTATTCCTACTGTGTCATGCTTGGTGACTACGAAGCACAGAGCTTAGAGGAAATGGTCACCTGGCAGGTGATCATTGGGAGATCCTGGCCAGGATCTCCCACAAAAAATGTCCTTTACGTGCAGGGCACTCTTAAAGATCTACAGATGTAAAGACTGGAATTATATAGGCTTTGAGGTGAGGTAAGTGGTAAAACCATTAAACCGTTAAAAGACAAGATGGAAAACTCTCTAGATTTTTACTGCATTTTATCTGGTTTACTCCATCATTTTTAGTGATTATAGTTTGGGGCCCATTAAGTAGAACTGCACTTTCATTTAGTGAGGCATTTAATATTTAATGTTGGCTTTCCAATGTTATATACATTGTAATATTGTAAAGTTAAAATTAATTGAATCTAGTATCATTTGAGTTTGGTAAAAATGCTAGAAGGATCATACTGGAACTATAATAACAGTAGCAACAGCATTTCTGGAAGACTGAAATACTGTGTTATGCCTAAGAAGAGTGTTTCCAATAGCTCATGCTCAAAAAACTACCCAGATAGGGAAAAAAAACAGCAGAAATAATTTCAGGTGGAAAATGAACCAATAAATATTCTATAACCTATCTCCAGCTTTTTTCAGAGATTATGATGACAATTAGGACAGTATATACTCTTTCTTTGATATTGTCTATGGTTGCCAAGGCTATATGCTCAGTTGGGTTATTCAATTCCTAAAATGCATTATGTTCAAATCACGCTTCCTAAAGTGGTTTTCTGTTAGAACTACATCAAATGAAAGCCATATTGCTGGCTTAAATGTAATTCAGTTCATCCTTGTTGTGTCAGGATGTTTCTTATATATATAACGGGAAGGAAATGAAAAGATTAAAAAAAACATTAGTCATCATGAGGTTTTTTAATATCATCAGCACTACCATAAAGCCAGCTGATAAATTGCACGCTATTCAGAAGAAAGAAATAGAATAAAATTAGTATTGCATTACACTAGATTAATCATAGCCCTGGGTTACTGTCATTCTATAGAAAATAAAAGCTTGACTATTTCAGATTTTAAAGTTTCTTCTCAGCCTTTAAGGTTATTTGCCTTAAGAGGCAAATAACAAGCCCATGTACTGAAGGAAGAACACCAAGATTTTGGGCTGGTGGGGTTGGTAAATTTTTATCATTGTTTCTAAACAACAGCAAAGCAGCATTGATGACTGGGATCCAGATGGTTAGCAGTAACACTTCATAATAGTAACCTAATGAAGCTTTTTAGTGCTGGTGACAGGTAAATGCTTGAAAGGTTTATGGCAGGGAAAAAGCTTCAATAAATAACTTGAAAATCTGTCTCTCTTCTTACTTGTATAATTATTGCTTTTTATAACGGCATAATGGAACAGCAAAGCATAGGTGAAGAAGAGGCTAGAAAAGAGGAGCTAATAGGACATACAGCGGGATTTTTTTCACTTCTTGTAAGACGAGTAGCTACTTAACAACCATTAAGCCTCCCTCAGACTTAAGGGGAGAATTTAAAAATCTTTTTCATGTAGTTAAGTCTGTCCAGAAAACAGGAGCTAAAAGTAGAGGAGATGAATATATTTCTCTGTGCAAGTAAAGAATAATAGTTTCAGGATATTTTAACTGAAAGAAGAAAGTTCTAGGATCTCTCACACGAGCTTTTCTCCCTAACCCTTGTTACCTGTGAAGAGTACAACCAGAAATCTGGTGCTCCCTTTGCAACAAGGGAGAAATCTGATGGCTGGCTGCTTCAAAGGGCAGAGGGCCAGTCCTGCAGGGACTCTGATGTTTCTGATAAAACCTTTTTCATTGGAAAACTAGGTTTTCAATAAATGGAAATTTTAACAGAAATCATCCCTTTTTTTCTGGGGAGGAAAAAGGCAGACTTAAAACTCACTGAAGGAGGGGGAAATTGGTTGAAAAGAACATCTGGAAATTTTTCAGGTTTTGATCAGAGGTGCACCGGGTTTTGTCAGCTGTTTTCTGTTTCAGTTATAGAAAATGATACAACAACAACAAAAAAGTGAAGAAGTCAACTGAAAGATATTTTTCCTGTCAAAAGTAAAAAAAACTTACGTTGAAAATTTCACTTAAAAAAATAAACCATCTATTTCTGTTAACATTTTCTACTGTCAGTTTTCCAAACAGATGTGATTGGGAAAGTGTTGTCAACTTTTCTGTGGGTAGGTGGAGCTGGTATGTTTTATGCTCCCCTGCAGCATCACTGAATGCCTAGTCAAAGCTGGTAGCATTAATGGATCACACAGCAATACTCTCAGATTTTTAAATGCAACCTGCCTCCAGCCTCTACTGGAAGAATGACCCTTAAAAATGTTGGCTGACACTGGATTTTTGCTCTTTCACACTGCGGCTGGTAAAACAATAAAAGAAATCAAAGGATATGCAATTAAAGCCTACGGCATGTACACAACAACAATAATAAAATAGACAATGTCATAAGGGAAGCCACTGAGGAAAGATCCATCAATCTGGTAATTATAAGCATTGTTGAAAGCACACAATCAATGTAAATGGTCTGGAATAAGGTATATAAACAGTGTGATGGGACCAAACCAAGGATATGCAATTTATTTAGATTGAATGTTATTATGCAAATAAAGCATTTCATTGCAAAGCAGCTAAGGTACATTCTTCTATTTTCTGCTGCTAAAATAGAAATTATTCAGCAGTTGTTTGTATCGCATTATGGAGGGGAAGTATACTTCAGCCTCAACAGCTCCTGCTTGATTCACTGTGGTTATTTTGGGCCATGCAGTTTAACTTAGGACTGTTGCACAGTCCTGGTTGTCCACTGCTGCAGGTACATGACTTTTCTTCTAGCCTTCAAAGGTTTAAGATTGGAAAGTCTGATAGATACCGGTATTTGATTGATTTGTGAAAAAGTCAAGTCATAGTCCTCTTTCCTCTTTTCCCCAGTTGTCTTGGCTTCCTTTTGAGGCTCTGCTGGAGGAAATTCTGTGCCTTCATACTAAAGTGAACATTTCATTTCTCAGTTTCTACAGATCAAGTGATGAGATGTCATGTGTGAAACCCCTGAAGACTGAGAAGAGAAACTCTGACTTCCCCATGGAACATTGTGAACTGCAGTTTCTTACTGGCTAGCAACACCTTTGATTCAATTTGTATGAAAACTCAATTTACTTATTAAAATGGACGTTATTGTTCAAATATTAGAAACTCCATTTCTTATATGTTTTAAGCTGTACAATTGTCAGATTTTTATGGTTTAGATTGTAAATGTGTTTTTCTCTGGCTAATTATTGGTATTATTTTTTTAATTTTGATGTCTTAAAGGCCAATGTACTGTATCATAATAATATGAAGGACATATTTAACAGGTGTGGGAAACACTGTATACAAATGTATATTTCTAAAAGCTATTTTTATGATTAGCATGTTTTACTGTTTTACCATATTTAGAGTCGGGTGATATTGCACTTTTTTGTTTAAAGCTTAATTCAAACAAGATCACAATTAAATACATTGTATGGTATTTTCCATTATTTTATTTATTATATTCATCACTGGAAATAATTATGTTTACTAATAGGGATAGCTGCTAAAAAGTGAAATATGTCAAAATAAGAGAGCAATTCTTGATAAACTGTAAATTGGATCCTCCTGTAAATCCCTTTCTTCAGATAAGCACTCTCTGTGATGCCTTTCATCAGACAGCTGTTCCTGCAAGTCTCTAAAGGCAGTTTGTTGTTACCATATGGAAAGTTTACATGACAGTCAGTCTCCTCTAGCCAGGTAAATTACTTATAGACTGCCAATATCTGACAAGCTGGGTTAGCCTACTGATTACTTTTTGGTTTATTTTCTGGCAGTAGTCTTTGCACTCCCGAACCCCTAAAGCCCTCCTAAAAGCCTGCAGTTGGAATAATTAATTATTACAGATGTTGTAGGGGGAATCTCAGTATAGAATTTCTTAATAAATCATGTTTCTTTTCAAACAGAATGGATGCATTATTTCTCTTGTGTTACTGAGATATTAAAGTATATATGATATAGGCACAAGGTCTTCTTCTGTAATGAAAGTACCAACTTGTTCACCATCCTGAAGCTAGACCTCCTTAGCGCTGCAGATGACATGAAACAAGGAATAGATATTTATCTTCATCCTTATATGAAATATACTCCTATAAAAAGAGGCATGTCTTTAAAGTGATTGCAGGGGAAAAAATATTTAATAGTTACGGCCTTCCAAGAGGGAGAGGCATTAATTTAAGAAGTACCTTACACAGTCAAATGGAGCTCAGAACCAGCTGTGTGCCAGTCTGTAGCACGGAGCCCTGATGTCCACTGATATCCATGGCCACTGGTGTTTGGTATTATCATCCAGCACCACAAAGATGAGCCCTTGCTTTGTCCTTTCAATCATTCTCTGTAGGCTAAAAGCAAAAGAAAAATAAAGGTACCAGAGAGACCCTTTAATAGATCAAACATTCAATTTCTATAAAAAACAGCAGTTTCTGAGATGACAGGTTCACCTCAAACAGTGGGGGTATGAGGAGGTGGGAGCTCAAGGTCTCCGGTCAGGTTTTTTGACCATCATCAAAGAAGGACTGATATTCTTCAAACATTTGGAAGAAGAGCATACATTTGAATTTAATTATCTATTACTGAGTGGGAATTTACTTCACCAGGAGACTATGTAACATAGCACTCTCAATTATGTTTGTGTATCTTATATTTAGCTTGTCTATTGTCTGTGGAATTACATGGTTTACCTAAGTGCTGAGTAGTACCTAGCTACTTAATTAAGGAAAGAATAGTATAAGTAGTTACGCCTGAGCATAAAGAATCACAGCTTCAGAATCCACCAAGGCTGACTCTCCCAGAAAAGTGCAGCAAAAAATATTACTTCTGTGCAAGCGAAATATTAGGTCAAATCAAAGGTTGAAATATTTCTCCACTTTCTATCTATTAGCATAGGTTATGATCATTTTTCACTGTAAAAATGCAAAAAGAATTGCCATTTTGGGATCTCCATCTTTGGCTGACAGTTAAAAAAAAGAACTTCAAACCTTAGCAGCTCAACAGGCATTCTGCCCATTTCAATTATGTAAACTCTTGGCTGACTTACAAGATGCAGAATGTCACCCAAGGAGATTAGTTCTGATGTTGGTGTTAATAAACTACATATGAGAAACAGCTAGGTGTATCATCTCTTCACCACCTCCATTCCAAATGAGCTAATAATCCCAGAAAGCACTCTATTAGATTTTTACAAATTCTTTCCAATCATTACCCTTAGATTATATATTCACAGAAATGATTGCACAGTCATAATGTCGACACTGTTTCACACCACAGTTTAAGTCCTGAATATAGTTTGAACACAAAAAGACACCTCTGATAACACCATGAGGCATTACTTCATTTGCAAGCCAGAAGCTTGCTGTGCTGTGCAGTCTATTACTAGAAAGGTTTCTTAATGGCATGTTTGTTTCAAATCACTACAGAGGATGCTGGTAGCTTCAACAGAGCTTGATAGTTCTCTACTTTTCATGTATGTGGTATGCTCGGTGTTTGCCATCACTACCTATACTTGTTTTACATGAGTTTTGTCAGTTGTGGGTTTTTTTTAAAATTGCTCATCCCTTGCAATATGGAAGAATAGGAAACATAAAGGATCTTGTCAATCAGTTTGGATAGTCAACAGTCTTGTAATTTCCTTTATGGACAGTCCTGAATTAAACCAATTCATTTTCTACACAGACCTATACGCTCTGTGTATTTCAGATATTTGTTTCAAACCTGTGCAGCTGCATGAATGGAAAATATTTACTAAAAAGCTTTAAAGTTTGGATTGAGAAAAAATATTTTTACTTTTGTAAACTCTTGTATTACATATTGTTGCGATTCTTATTAGTTTTCTCTGTAAATCCATTTTTAGTTCTGAAAAATCATTGTACTTAAACTATGTAGATAGCTACAATCTTGTAAGCAGTCATATTTTTAATAGGTGCCACTGCAAGTTAGAATTAAAACATTCAGAGTTTGCCCATGTAGAGCAGCTTGATGGTTCATTACAGTTTTCTTTAAATTGTTGTAACATAATTTTTACATGTCTGTAAATAAATATTTTCTCTGATTTATGCACTAATTCAGTTTTGTAATTTCTTCTCTTAAAATGTGACTTTAAGAAACTTTCCAGGAAAAATATATTTCTCTCATGGAAAAACACCTTTTAAAGCTCTGTAATACAACCGTGCTTCACAAACTTTCCAAGCAGAACAAACAGAAACAGGCATCCATAGTATGAAGTACTTATCTTAAGTAAGTAAGATGGAGAAAAATGTGGGGAATACTGCTATCATTTTAACAGTTTGAGAAATTTAAGGACCAGTCCTGTGTTAAAAAATGACTGCGAAGAAATGTGACAAACTTCCTAAAAAGAGGAAATTCTTCAATGGGGTGAGAGAGAGAGAAAGAGAGGCCCGGTGGTGATATTTCACTGAATTTGAAGAATGCATATTCTTAATCTTGGAAGCTTCTAAGTTTCATGTATCACTAAAATAGCGTGAGTATAACTGATGAAAACCATGTTAATAATAGTTATAGTTTTCTGTTTGGTATTCAAACACATTTTTTATTCATAGTTTATTATTCCATGAAGGAGGTGCTGCTAGACAAACAAACTAAGGAAAATTGGTCCATAAGGTCTACGAGAATGTTTTTAAATTACATGGGAATTTTTGGGAAGCAAGACTATTTTGAAATGTGTGTGATTTATATATGGCACGTATTTTCTACATTTTTAAATGTGTTGTCCTTATTGTTACAGCTATGCCAGATTTTGCATGTTTGTGAACTTTATAAACAACTTACTCTTATTATGCATGATACAGGGCCAATTCCTCATTCAGAAAGAACCCTGTTACAGATTAAATAGTAGCCAATTAAAATAATTTCTAATTCCTTTTTAGTAGAGAAGGTAGCCTGAGAACTTCAAAAATTTCCAGTTTCCATGTTCAGAAGAATCCTCAATAGTCCAGAAAATTTAAATAAGGAATACATCTGACTTGAGAGGAAAGAGGATAATAAAGTAAGATAATTTCAATTTCTGTACTTGTCTATCAAGATCTTATGTAATAAATATCATCAAAAAAATCATTTTGATAATCTTAAATTCTGTGTTGGATGATACTGACCACAAGGGCAATTATTACTGAAATTAGGTCATCAATCAGCCCAGAATAATCAGGGAGAGCAGAATGTAGTGTTCGATGGACAAAACATCAAACAGTCTAACATTTTATGGGCAAAGGAGCAATACATTACAAATGTTTTCAGAACAGAGAAGTACTTAACCCTTTGCATGATTAGTAATAAAGTATAGAAAATATAATTTATGCAATTAAGTTGTAGTCAGGATTATATTCCAGTATTTTTTTATTTGCTCATATGAAGATCCATTCTGAGCCTCATTCATTGCCATTAGGGACAAAGACAAATATTTTTGAGTTTTGAACCTGTTGGGAAAACCGTTATAAAAATAATGCAAAATTATTAGAGGAGTGGAGGAGTTTTCCACATAAGTAATGGAATTCTGCCTCTTTGCCTTAAGAGTCTGAAATGGTGGCTCCAAAGCAAAGCATTGAAAAGATTTTCTTCTCTTATAAATTCTTTACTCTGAGACAGTAACCTTGTTCCATGTCTGCATAACTTCAGGCTTTTATCCTCCCTGAAAGAAACTTGTAGGACTTCTCCATAGTAAGAGCTCACCAAAGTCATCCACTCAGATCCAGCAGCCACAGATCAGAAAAACCATCTCCATAAGATTAGGCTCCCACACCAGAGGAAGGATAGTGTGTGTGTGGTGAAGCTAAGGACAGTTGGGCATCCTAAACTAGGAGAAAAGATGTCTGTTTTGGCCAGTGGCTGCCAATCTTAACAGTCAGCTAAGGACAGACCTGACTACAGATAGTCTGTTCCTAGAGAAAGAAGAGTCCAGCCAAGGCTATAAGTAAAGATGCAGGAAAGATTCTGTACACTAAATAAAACCAGCACAACTTGGTAAGTTAGTACTCTGAGCATTTCTCACCAATGAAATGTTCTGGCTATGAGGATGAGAGAGAGAATGTAAGAGC